CTTGGGCTAGTCTTGGTTCAGCCTTGCGATAGTCTTGGGGACTTTTCCCCAGGGCGCTGTGTCTTATAGAGTGCTCGATTGACCGACTAAGACGAGAGTTGAAACGTATTTCGTTGTGTGTGTCTTATTTGACTGTAAAGTATAAGTGACTTTCCCGATCCCGCACCTCAAGGGGACGAGATATAGAGACGAGACGAGTTTCCCCCCTGGCACGTGTGGAGAACCCAGAGAGAAGATTTACCCCCGTGATAGATCCACAAGATGAAGGAAATGATTACTTTATGATTGGAAACTGTCGATAGAACAAATTTTATGAATGAATTGGTTTTACGATTTGAAAATCATTTAGTAGGTATTCATGCCTTAATTAATAATTTTCAGCCCATTGAATTTGTGTCTCAGCAGAAAAGTCAAAACAGCATTACTAGACATCTCCATATTTCTGAGACAGAATTATTCAAATTTCGAAATTATACATACTGACTTCGCCACATATTTTAATACTAAACTTACTATTTTTTCCATCAAACTACTGAATCACTGTACATATAATTACGTATAGCATTGGTAAATTCAGATTCTTCTTATAAATTATACTCCATTATGTCTTTATCAATCATCACCCCGCCTATCATTCATGATTCAATTGACCACGTTCTGAATAATTCGTACACACAGATAAACGCATTTTTTGCGATATACTTCTTCGACGATTTCAGAAAGGGTGACTGTCGGGAAGTAGGACACCAATAATTTAAAACAAACAGTTATACTGGAGAGAATGGAATGACATTTTATTATCATCATTATAGATTCAATAAGCAAACGGGAAGCGGGTCAAGAAATCGTAATTGTTTAATATGTATTATAGAGATGGTGCGTAGTTCGTTCTTTGACTGTAAGCACGTACGCATTGCATACAGAGTCTTTTCAACGACGACCAGTAATAATGCTATACACGTTGTGTGCCATTTCATGTTTAATAAATTAGGGAGAACTCGTTTATCCATTAGGAAAATCATTTATACAATATACAATAATATCCTGACAGTATTGTTTACACTCTCGTAAACCGGTTTTAACGTTATTTTAACGTGACTAAGACACTGGTCGACCAGGGAATGTGTGCGTGCACGTTACAATTAGTCGACACTTACGTTGATAATAGTATTATTTACAATATATCAATCGACGATCCTCAGAATACTGTATGTATGCTTCTTGTAGTTCGAATAATATTTCTTTTATTTTGCCATTTTGTCTATGGCGTTAGCAACACTATATGTGACCACTGAGCTTGTCAAAATATGTACAAAGCACGATGGGATAACCGATGTGGTAAACTGACCATGATGTTAATATTCAACTACCTAATTTGCACAATAATAATAATTGTAATTGAAACCGTATTCATACGTGGGATCTTGGTTGGAAATACAATGAAGTAACAAAAAACAAGTGTAACAATAATAACATCACAAACTTTTGAATATAAAGCAAAACAAATATGTGGTGGTTGGTTTAGGCATCTGGCATTTTAGAATTTTTTTCTTGTCGTAACTTGAAACAAGTGTGAATGAATTTTCCTAGCTCAATAATTGTTTTTTGTTTTAGTTTTTTACCTTTTAGTATAGCTCATCGCCCGTCCTAAAGTTGATTTTATTGTATTTAATATTTTAAATCATGAATTCTAGTTCTTCCTTATACAATTGAGAAGAAATTGTTGTTCGTTTTCAATTTCCTGGTTGTCCCAAACCTCAGACTACTAGTCTGAGCCCAAACTGGACAAATTCTGTCTTCAGATATAAGGTTATAATGGAGGAAATACGTGTATCATCTACCTGTCTAACATATCCGCAGTTAGGTGGCGCACAGGTGATAATAAAATGAATGCAATATTTACTATAAGGGGGACTCCATCTTGAATACGAATAAAATAAAGAAACAAGTTGTGTAACGTGTTTTTCAGATTCCTGCAAATCAAGAAAATTACCAATCTTTTACGTTGGGGTAATATTAAGCCACCCGTTAACATAATTTGGCAGAATTCATCATTTTGTGTGAAAAAAAGTTGTTATTATGACTAAGTTGTTATTATGTAATGAATTTGAAAGTAGTTAGTGGGTTCTATACTTAGTGACGGTTATGCTTACCTGTATGCTCTGATTGTGGACAATCCTCCCAACGTTTCAGAGAAGTGAGCTAATACCGGTGATTTGGTTATGCTGTCCAGACACTGAAATTAATTAGATTATAGCTGACTTCACAGAATCGCAGAAATTCATCAATTTAAACCGTTCAAAAACAACTAGCAAATGTTTGTGTGTTTGCGAATAGATTTTGATGTTCTATATTTTTATTTTATTTGGGTTTAAACAAATCTATATTATTATACAATAACATATTATTGCATAATCTTCATCCTGTAGGTCAATATATTATGAATATATGTTGTGTATTTATGGGGATACACCTTGGTGATTGTGGTTCTTAATATACTGAGTAGTATTAGTGAAATGTACAGGTGAGGTAGTTAAATATCAAAAGTTGTTGGTATTGAGTATCTATCTAGGTAATCATTTCTAATGACGTAAGATGTACATTGTTATTTTGTATGATATTTTTTGAAAACAAATCATTTTGCACTCATTTTTTATAAAAAGAAATGATCTGAGAGAAAAGTTTGTCATGTCAGCATGGTCATAGAGACACGTATGTAGAAGAGTGTTGTATAATTTAAAAAAAAATTGATGATTTCAACTTTAAAGTCCCTCTATACATTAACGGGCGGTGGTCGTCGCGTCGCATCCTGTTCAATAGGGGACTCGTAGCGACGATTACCACCCATTAACTTTCAAGTCTACATGTACCCATAGATAAATGTACAGATGGTGAGAACAAGAAGGAATTAAGGTCGTGTTTCCCACGGTGGTATTCCAATTATTCACACAATACAACCTAGTTGTTGCCTGTCCGATGGTAATATTGACAATTCAGTCCATTGGTAACATCAATCTACGTATGTTGTTCGTATTTAAACATACTCACTAAAAAACATTTCCCAATGGTAATAACAAGAATTGATACTATTAAAACTGCTCCATCGCATTCAGTGTTGATACATGTGCAGTTAGTATTGTTATTATTTCCTTATATCTGAATGAAGATAGTACACGTTAGAGTGCTTGTCATACAGTTTTGTTGTTTCAATATGGCTAACTGGCTGCCGATTTGTACAGTATGTCCACATCTTTTGAGCCATGGAATGACCAGTTATGTTGTTACTCATAAACAGTAACTAGGCACTTGTGCATTCAGTTGGTAATCAGATTTAGCTAAATGGCGACCATTTTGGTTGTAACATTTTGAGGAACCTAATGTTTTTACAACCACTGATCAGATTTCGACAAAACTTAATATATTGCTTATTGTGGTCAGAAATGTACAAAACAACACCATATACAATGTGGTAGTAAGTATGTACAAAACAACACCATATACAATGTGTTAGTTAGTATGTACAAAACAACACCATATACAATGTAGTAGTAAGTATGTACAAAACAACACCATATACAATGTGGTAGTAAGTATGTACAAAACAACACCATATACAATGTGGTAGTAAGTATGTACAAAACAACACCATATACAATGTGGTAGTAAGTATGTACAAAACA